AAGAAGGAACCCCCTGCAAGGACCTCAATGGCCCAGAGGCCTCCCAAAAAGCTTCCCTCAAGCTCCACGGCTGACTTGACCGTCGGAGGTACCACGGGGGAAACTAGCCCCGCACTCTTGCGATTCTTGTATGTGTAGGTTATCAGCCCACTACGCACGCTCAGAATCGGACGTAAAGTCGGAGGAGGAGTCGGCCGCAACATTCATCCTCTCCTTCTTCCCCATCGTCGCCAGGATCAAAACTGCGTCCGACGGCGGAGGACCCCCATCGATTGTTTGTTCACGAATATCAACAATATTGAATATTGCGTAAAGCAGCTCAAGATGCGCTCGTATTTCTCATACAATGGATGGAGAGATTCCCACAGTACAGACATAGAGATTTCTACATTGCTGGAGAAAGCTATGTAGGTTAGTTAACAAATTGATCCTGGAGTGACAAGTTCTGGCTCTTGAAGATTAATGAGGAAGTTCACATGGAAATTTGTCACTAATTTATGACAGTGATCAGGGATGATCTAATATTTAATTAGTTTTGTTATTTATTTTCTTTTCGGAGCATGTTGTGATAAATCTGCTTATTTGTAGGGCACTATGTACCTCAACTGCGAAGAAAATTCATGATCATAACAAAGCTTCTTCAAAGCCCTCCATCAATCTTAAAGGATTCATTGTCAGTATATGCATTTATTTACATCTGTGTTTATCTAATTAGAAATCTATCTACATGGAGTTAGTTTAATGCTAAATGGTTATATGCAACACCACGTATTAGGTATTACAAACTGGATGAGAAGTTTATTTTAACTGGATGAGATTTTAGATTTTGAAAATAACAATATTTTGTATCTTCAACAACCTTCCATCTTGTGCTTCAATTTCCTATGACCTGCACTCATTTTGGCTCATCAAGTTTAAATTTCTCATTTAATATCTTCCCTCCTCATCACAAATTCAAATCTTTGATCTTTTTATTACTTTCTGGATCTTCCCCCTCCTTCCACCTTATTATTATTATTATAGACTTTTCCTCTTTCTCTCCTCCTTTATTTGAGATTCGGATTGGAATTTGTTGAAGATGATGAAGAAGGGGAGCAGGGTTTTGATGATGGATTCAGAGGAAGCGAGAGCTCGGTTCAAGCATCAGGCCCTTTTGCAGGATTATGATGAACTGCTCATGGTAATAAACAATTCTTTTCTTTTTTGTGCAGATTTGCTCTTTTTCTTTTAAAAATCTATTTATGTACATATGATCCGTTGTTATAGGGTTAGGAATTTATTTGCTTGATGGGTTATCTTTGTTTCTTGAATCAGAGATCTGGGGTTTGTTGTTATGTGCAATTTTGACTTCTCCATGGTAGGCATAAATTTGGGTAGTCTCATTCGGTTCTAAAATTGAAGGATCTTTTCAACTTTTTTAGCGGTGTGTTCTAAATTCTAGGGTTATTTGATCTGGAGACTTAATAGAGTCTTAGATTCCGTGATTTTAAGGTTTCTTAACACTTGTCTTATTTCTATTGTCTCTGTGATTTTAGGATTTTAGGGTTCTATTATTTGCTTATATTTTGTTCTTATATGTATGTTTTGCATTTATCATTCGTGATGCTTGTCTGAGTTGATTCTTTTTAGATCCAACTCTTTTTGATCTTTTCTTAATATTTTTGGGTCAATTCCCCCCCGTTGTTGTACCAAGTATATCTATTTTTAACATGTGAACAAAAGGGCTTTGCTTTTATATATATTTACAGGTCTCTTTTGCATATTCTATAAATCTATCACCGTAAATCCTATTAAGCTCTAAGAATTATATTCTTACTGTGCAGGAAAATAAAGCAAAGAAGAGAAAGTTGCAGAAAACAATTGCAAAGAGACTCAAGCTAACGACTAAAGTCAAGTACTGACATAGATAAAAAAAATTTAGAGTTGTGGATTTTGAATATTTTGCAATTTTGAGAAGGAAGAGGTAGATTATATCCTGCAGATTGATATTCTAGAAAAATAAAAGAAAAAACTAGAAGGTAATTCAACCCAAAATTATTGTTTTTATTTTAAAATTATCTATGTTTTTTCCCGTCTATGCAAATAGTGATCTCTTTGCTAGTCTAACCGACCTCTTTTATCTTGAAAAGTATTCAACTTTCCTGCATTGTAATTAATCCATATCCATTAGAGATTCTATCATCAGCAGTTAGAACAATAATGTAACCCCCCCTCCCCATTTTAATTAGAGCTTACTTTATCTATCAATATAATCTGCAAAGGTCCGATCGGAAAGAGTATTGCAGGTTCGTTTCAATTTGTTTTTTAATCACTTTTACTATTTTGTTTGTACTGTACCGATAATGCCAAAAACCTTTCCTTACTAATTAATCACTTTTACTATTTTGTTTGTACTGTACCGATAATGCCAAAAACCTTTCCTTACTAAAATTTTTACGAATCTCTAATTGTACTGTACCGATAATGCCAAAAACCTTTCCTTACTAAAATTTTTACGAATCTCTAATTGTTACACAGTCACCAATACTAATCGAATTTGTGAAAGTCCAGTTGGAAAGGGTACTACAGATTTGTTTTCATCTTTCTGGTAGTTTTATCTTCTTTGTGCGATTTTAGTGTTTTTTCAATTTAATTAAGTCTTTAACTAAGACTAATGCAATTAGATTATTAATTGAATTCAACTTTCGAAGTTTGTAGGTAAATTGTTCTATTAATTTTTAATTACCAAATGTTAACCTATATTTAAAGGTAGTGTTGCAGTCTTGGTATATACAACCATTATTTGCATTCTTATGTTTCATAGCATTTACAATTAGCCATGATTAATGCGAAAGATTCAAACTGTCTTCACATCTAAATTGACCAACCTTTTAAGAATTTTGTTCTCTATATGTTAATTACAAAATATGCTTAGAAACGAACATTGTATATTACCTTTGAATTGATTGTAACATAAGTAAGCAAGTCATATTAATATTAGCCTTAAAAAAGGAAAATTATTTTCATATTCTCATAAGAGATTTTTCCCTTAAGATTTGCAATAATTCTCCGGTGTGCAATTATTTAATTATGTTGTCGGTCGCATAATTTGATTCTAAGGTTGGCGCTTTGCTAAGCACTCTTCATGGATTCAATATAGGAAAATAAGTTTCCTTTTCATTTTTTTGGTGATTTTATGTTGTTTGGGATTTTTTTTTGAAATGGGCTTAAAAAAAAATAGTACATGGAGTCCTTTTGTTCAAAGCATGTGGAAGTTCTTAAGAGTGTGTAGGCTGAGCATTTAAGGTGACTGCAGAGGTTGTTGAGAGAGGATTGTTTCTATAAGATGGAGAGTGAAGTAATTTGATTTATTCATGGAAAAGGGTATGTTGTTTCATCCATTAGTTGTAAGTTTGTGTTATATTTTTTCTGTATAGATGTCTTTTCTTGCTCATTTGGAGTTAAATCCCTAGAAATTATTTAGTTTTTTGTATTTATTTTAAAGTTAATTTGAACTTGGATACTACAGTTATTTTTACACAATCAGAGTTAAACTTTTGAGAACTTTGGGATCTTTTTGGGCAAAAAGTAAGTTTGGGATATTGAGGTTCAATTGATATAAACTTTGTGATATTAAAGTGAAATAACCCTTTGTTTTATTTTAGTTCCTTCTATCAAGGCTTGAGAATAGTAATTATATCCTATTAGATTATTTTTAATGATATTAATGCTCATTTTTTCAAAATTTTTAAGTTTACCCATTTTTGGTACTTTTTTGACATTTCAATTTAATTTTGAATTTTTTCTACCTTATAAATAATAAAATAACCCCTCCATATTTTTGAATACCGTTTTTACATATTTACATTTTTTAAACTATATATGATCTCAAACTGATTCAAGTTTTCCAAACTTTCTAATTTTTCAAACTATATATGCAACTTAGGTTGTATCATTTCTGACCACTTATATATCATTACTGTTTTTTTTTTTGCATTCTTTTGCTACATTAATTTTTGTATATTAAACAAATCCGTGCATCGCACGGGCCTAAAACTAGTAAGATAATAATATGAGAGCTAAATTGTGCTCATCAAATTGAAGGCTATTCCAAGAAAGATCCTTTTATGTAAACCCAACCTTTCCCAGCTAGCACGAGACTAAGGTGGTGTTTATTTGCATGCAAGTGAAAAATAAAAACAAGAAAGATATTTTTATTTAACAATTAATGTGTTTGTTTTCATGTAAGTGGTTATGAAAGAGAGATGCAAGAAAGTTGTCACATATGATTTAATGCAAATTTGGCTTCCCCTAAAAAATGGTGAATTCACATGAAAGTAACAAAAAGATAACTAATTTAATTAAATGATTTTAATTATACTTTCTAATTAATCTTATTTTGTCACGTAATCTTCATATTGCACTTTCGATAATAATTTAATTTTTCAAACAAACACTGTATTTCACTTACGTACTAATATAGATGTAAAGGTGTTTGTGTGCATGCAAGTGAAAGATGAAAGTGAGAAAGTTACTTTCATTTAACAATTAAGGTGTTTGTTTTCATGTATACTTTCATTTAACAATTAAGGTGTTTGTTTTCATGTAAGTGGTTATGAAAGTGAGATGCAAGAAAGTTACCACATATGATTTAATGAAGGTGTTTGTTTTCATGTAAGTGGTTATGAAAGTGAGATGCAAGAAAGTTACCACATATGATTTAATGCAATTCTAACTTCCTCTAAAAAAGTGGTGAAGTCACATGAAAGTGACAAAAATATAACTAATTTAATTAAATTATTTTAATTATACTTTCTAATTAATTTTATTTTGCCAGGTCATCTTCACATTGTATTTTTGATAATAATTTAATTTTTTAAACAAACACTGTATTTCACTTGCGTGCTGACATGTAAAAGTTATTTAAAAAAAATAACTTATATATTTTAAATTTACTTTCAAATTGCTTGAAAAAAAAATTATATATTTTAAATTCAGTTTGAGATTGCGAAACACCCCCTGATCCCATTTGCCGAAGCCCTCCGTGCCCAAATCCGTACAAACGCAGGCTTTGTGTCCGTTCACCCGCGGTGAGTTCATCTCCCTTCCAAAAACCTAGATTTCGCCGTTCTCATATTCAACCCTCGCTTAACGGGCTAACGACGTGGACGGGCCCCTAGGAACGGCCGACGTGTCTCCGGCAACGGCAGCAGAGATGGACGGAACCCTAACCGTTGACGGCGGAGGCTCTTTCTCCCCGTTCTTCATCTTCCTCATCGTCCTCGCTCTCCAGGCCCTCGATGGATTCCTCGCCATTATCAAGAAGGTAACTTAACAAATTTAATGCCATTATTTCGGCCATCATTGAAAATTTTCGAGAAATCGGTGTTATCTGCGTAATTTAAGACGATCGGAGCTTATCGAGAGTCTAATTGCAAAGTATTGCACTGTGTACCTGTAAATTTTCTGAACAAAGTGTTTAATTTGGGGATAAAAGTGTTAGCCTGGAGCTTTGCTTTATCCATTTGTTAGTGCTTCCTAGTGTCGCTTTGCCAGTAGAGTCTCCTTTTACCTTATTTTAGGAGGCTACTGAATGTACCAGTTAGGAGAAGTGATAAGATTTATAGTTAATGGGGGCAGAGAGGGCTAGATGTCGAACTAAAAGAACTTGATTGGAAACAATTACTTAGGACACAGTCATAGGTACCTTAACAAAGGAGACGAACCATAATAGAGCTGAGGAGAGGAACACGACCCATGTAGCTGACCCAGAACTTTGAGATAAAAGCTTTGTTGTTGTTCGGGATGTGTTGGACTATCTGATGGGATTTAAGCGCAATTTTAAGCGTAACTATCATGATCAGGGTATGTCTTTAATTTGTGCTACATTTTGTCTCTCCATCTGATTTTGTCTCTCCATCTGATTTTGTCTAAACTCGGGCCTTTTACGATTGTGTCCGTCATTTTTACATGAGTCTTTGAAGTCCCCCCCTCTTAATCTGTTGACTAGAGTTCAAATTACTCTTATGTTGCATCTTTCCTTTTTGCATATTTGAACTACTGTTTAAGACTTTAAGTATGGTCACTTGGATCCACCATCAAGTATCATGTTAGGTACTGTGATCTGTAGTATTTTTTTCACTTCGTGCTCATGTCCCTGCGTACATATTGGTTCATGCAATTCATCTGGTGCAAAAGGTTATACAGGAGTTCTGGCTTACTAAGGTTGCATTTGGGCAAGTTGGGTTAGGTTGAGGGTCAACCCTGACCAATATTCATCTTCTAGAAGTTCTAACCCTAACTCAGCATCTCTCTACCTTGGGGTTAAAATTAGCCAACACTAATCCAGTCCAACCTTGAAAAACATCAGTTGCTCAATTGTGTTTGGATTGGACTAGGTCGGATCGTGTTGAACTGGAAAGAAGGCATGACCACATGGACTGTATAAAATAGAAAGATAGATATCAACCAATAATTTCACATATATCAAAGGTCAAGATAAAACACTTAAGTTCATAACCTAAGAATAAATCATGAACTATAAACTTTAAAGAGTACCTAAACATTCTATTTATGGAAAGCTTGAGATGTTAAAAAAATCACAAACTAGGCAAATTCAGCTAGATTTGGGTTGACGCATGTGGGTTGGGTTCAATGTGTTAGTTCCGTGTTCATGAGGGGTTTTACTTAAGTTTTTTCTTATCTAGTGTTGTGGTTTGTTTTCTTCCCTCAATCCAGGCCCCACCCATATTTTCAAAAGTCTCGAAATTCTAATCCAGCCTTACCTACTGAGCAGGTTGGGTGGATCATGCTTGTTCAACGAAGTATGAGAAATTAGACTTGGTTAATTCTTGAACTTGTTTGGGTAGTTTTGTGAGTAGTTTCGAAGAAGTGATGTACTGTTTGAGAAATGTTCATTGAGAGTTGCATTGGGATGATGTTAAATTATTCAAGTTCATTTGTGCAGAGAGATGTCTGGTTGCCTTTTCAACAAGATAATGGGAAAACATATATACCCCAAATGTCTTGGTAGCATTTTGTATGCTAGATGATTGCCACAGGAGGATACCAAAAGACCCATTGCAAAATTAAACTTCTCATTTACTAGCAATAATTTTTAAGCAGCAAGCCTGCCTGCTATTTTAAGTTTAAACTTCTCCCTGTTTCTTCTCAGCTGTAGAATTTCCGAAGTGGGAGTGCCTACAGCCTTCTTGAGTGGATTGGCTGTTGGCGTTGTGCCTCCAAAACTAGTGAATGTTGCCATGCTGGTTCATTTATGAAGCTTCCTAGGATGCGTCTCCGACGATGAGGATATTAATGATGATATTGATGAGGATGACCACATCATAACCTCCTACAATCTGTTGCAATAGCAATGACTACCTTGATCACATGACACGAGTTTTACCTCATCCCAGTAACCAAAAACTGACAGTGACACTGTACGGAGTGGAGTTTCCTATGGTGATAGCCACACCGTAGCAAGTTTTGGTTGTATCTGTGCACTGGAAGATGGAACTTAACTTCTCTTCCTTAAAAAGAAAAAGATTATACCCTATAAATTTAGATAACCAACATTGTATTCACATAACGAAACGGGGTTTTATGCCAAAACTCTTTACAATTATCCCTAATATTGTTCTTTCCTCATTACAAGGAGCAGAAAATCTTTCTATAACTGAACTAGTTCGTTATATAGTCAAACTCAATATGTACTATAGTCATCTAATTACTATGCCACCTTTCTAGAGAGGATCAAGCAGCAGTGAGCAAGCTCAGTTAAGGCAAGAGATAAAGCAACTTTTGAAAGAGGCAAGCTCTTTGTCAACGTATGTTTTCAATCACTCTATGGTTATTATACCAAATCTGTAAGACATATAATGTATATTTTCTATTTCTTATATTAACCTTAGCAATCATACTAAAAAAATAATGATTACTACTTGTTAAATAATTGTAGAAGGTTAAATATATAGTGTAATTCAACATATTTTAAAACCTAATTGTACTTTCCCCACCTTTCAGTTATACACGTTAACAACTCAGCATGTTATTATTTGTGTTTGCAGGCCTGCCACATTTGCCCAGGCTGCAAAACTTCGACGAACAGCAGCAGCTAAAGAGAAGGAACTATTGAAAAGTATGTAATCTACCATTAATTAATTACTCCTTTCATTTTCGTAGGTTGTGATCAGAAAAAAAGGAGAGTTGTCCATTTTCAAATGGCTGCAGTTATTTAATCTTGTCTGCTGCAAGTTTTTGCAAACTTTGTGTCGTCTTTGTTATCCAATTTTGGCACTAAAAGATATTCTTAAGTAGACTTTTTTTGTTAAACTTTTTGGGGAATCATAATCTTGTAATGTATTATAGCTCTTTTGATGCTGTTTATTTTCTTTATGACCTGAACAAATTAACCAAACTACTTTGGTATCTCTGCCTCTTAGTGGATTCTCAAGCTCTGCTCGCTTTGATTGCTCTTAAATGCTGATATCAGTGTCCAACCCTAGTATTCATGATATATTAGCAGAATTTACAATGTGCATGCATATGATAAAAGAGACCCAAGCTGTTACTTACGTGTTTAGAAGGCGCTAAATGATATGTACTAACAGATGTGATTTGAAGGCCAACAAATGTTTAAGGAATGTCATTGACTTTGAATACTTTTTTTTTTCCTGACTTCTATTTCATTTAAAGTAACGTTTGATGCAGTGATTATTTCATCTGAAAATGTAAGAAGATTAGAAAAGTTTAAGATGTAGCTTCTAGTGTTACATGACCATGCATATGAGAATCAAGTTTTTGACACAGGAATGTTCAGAGTACGGATTCGGATCCTCTCCAATTACATTGCCCCAATCCCTATTATAGTTCCAACAGTTGAGATAAAGCCACATAGGATTTCCACTATCACAGTACCAGTTCATAATAGTGGTTTTAAAGATAATAGTGGTTCTATGTGGCTTAATCTCAGCCCTTGAAATTGAAATAAAGGGTAACATTGGGCTAATTGGACACTGTCCAGTTATCACACCTAATTGGAGAGGATCCCGATGCATGGATTACATCAATAAACTGCACCTTCTAATGGCAGTGCCGATTTCATAAACATGTTTTCAGTCCCTGTATAACAGGCATGCCCATTGTCATCAGTATGAATCTTACTATACATTTGACAGCTGTATAGACCAATCCTAGACTTAACAATCAAAGGTGCATAGAATTTAATTGCATTGTGTGGGAATTCATATCTTATTAGCTTGACACTCCGAAGATGTATTCTCCGGATGTAGCATAAAGTAATTATCTTATAAGTAACACTTAGCTAATACACTCTTTTTTTATTTTTATTTACTTTAAACTTGTTAGTGTACATCAAAGCGCTTTAATACTTATGTTGTTATTGTGTTGGTGGAGAGTTTAACTTTGATGTTTCCCCGAATGTGAGTGCAGAAAAGGAGGAGCAAGCAAAGGATAGCAAATTGTCGCATGGTTTATATGGAAGAACACTTCTTGTTCTTAAGGTGTCTTTTGATTTCCTTAAAACGATTTTACACTGTTATATCATATATGCTGAGGTAGATAGGGTATAACTGAATAACTGTTGTAGGTGTTATTATATATTGGACTATGCTGGTGCTTTTGGACTGTACCTGTTGCAGCAGTCCCTCAACATCTTTTGCAGCCTTTCGGTAATGTCTTTAAAACTTTAGAACTCAGGTTATCGTGTTGATTTGTGAAGGTTGATAATAGAAGAACTTGTGATTATTAGTTTTTTATTTTGTACCTTAATTATACTCTTGCCTTCCAGTCATTGAACTTCAGTCAGTAAATTAAGTTCTTGGTGATCTTTTCATACCATCTTCACTTGAGCAGGAGGCTAGGAAGCAAAGACTTAGAAAGCAGGCGCTTAGAAGTCTCCTATGTATTGATTCAACCCTGTGGTGTTTAATTGGATACCTGATAATAAGATTTTAAACTACATGCTTAATTTCTTAGGTCTCCCTAACTGCGAATGGTTCTCCACTTTTTCTCATATCGCTCTTTGGACTTGACCGTGAAGTTGGCACAAACTCGTGGATGCTGAAGCTAGCTTCTCTCTCCTCTCATAAATAAAATATGGCCAAGTGTTTTCAGTGCTGAAGACTGACATGCTTCAGAAATAATCAGACCCATTCTGGCGATAAAATGTGTACATGTGGACGATGGTGATGAGTCACTATTGGAGAAGGGTTGTTAATTTCTAGGAAAGAGGTGCTTTGAATTCGTTTGGAATGAGTTAACTCTATTATTGGACTAATTTAATTAATGTGTTAATAAAGAACTATTTTCTGTTTTAAGTGGATCATGGACGGCAAAAATTGTAGTCTATATATCAGCTCTAGTAGTTTTTGCTCCCTTGGATATACAAGTTACCAGGTTTAGTCCACTAGCTTATTTATTCAGGATCTCAACTCTTAAAATTGTGTTCATAGAGATAAGGTGACCAGCACTTTGACAACCTTAGAGAACAAGCAGATACCAGTAGACCTTTGGAGCTAGTCTTATTTAATTGATTGCCTGAGATAATGAAAAAATACTATCTTAGCCTCTGTTTTCTAGAAATGTAACTAGAAAAAGGAGAGAGGTATCTTTTATTTTGATGTTGCCTCTCTGTGTAAAGTTTTCTATAGTTTGTGGCATTGTTGTCTTGAACAATCTCTAATCAAATATATTCAGGAAATTAACTTGATATTTGCTTTGGCAGGGAGCTTTTTATCCTGGAGAAGTAAAGATTCGGCGACTGGCCTTATCACGGTAGATAAATACATCATCTGCTAAAATTTCCTAGAAATTCAAGAGAGGTTTCTTTGTGCAGCTCTGAGTAAATGCACCCTTTTTACGCAGGTTGGGATAATTCCTTGGCTGGTTCTCTCCTCTCGGGTCAGTAAATTCATGTGTCAGAAATTTTCCAAGGCTATTGCTCTTAAATAGAAGAGAAGATCCTTGCTGGAATTGAATCTGATCAAGATCTCTCATGGAGAGACAATGGCCAAAATTTTGTGGATTTAACCCAGGATGAGCCTCACAAATGTTCTTGAGATTTATTAAAGATGAGAAAAATCCGGGCACACTATTTTATGTTATTTTATTTTTGTGCCTTTTTTGTGTTCTGTGGTTATATTGAGAATTTTTTTACTTGTGTTTCAGTGAGTAGATTACTTCCATTGTACAATGGGATCTCAATGATTGAACGTTGTTCAATAGGATTTTGTTTTAAAAAATAAATTTTATAAGTGTCCTTAATCAGGCCAGATTAGAGAAATGGGTAAGGACCACAACACGGTAAGGACTAGGGGTGTCCAAAAAGCTCGCGGTTCGGGCTGGAACCCGGCCCGGGTCTGGGCTTGGTCGGGTCGGAACCCGGCTCGGACTCGAGTCTGGGCCTGGGTCGGTCCGGATCCGGGCCCGGCCCGGTGCTAACGGTCACAAATTGTGACCGTTGGCGGAAATGGCCGAGCCGGGTTGGTCCGGTCATTTCTGACCGTTTATGTCGCCGGCCAAACGGTCATATTTGGCCATTTGACCAATTTGCCCCTTAAAACGATCAAAAAAAGTTAGAATATGAGGGTTTTTTGGTCATTTGCCTAGGGGCTGCCTCTATAAATAGGGGGGGGGGGGGG